TAAATAAAAATGAAAGAAAAAAAAAAGGAAGGTGAAAAGATCAGACGATTATCACTGATGCATAACCAACGATCATTTTATTTACCACAAATGAAAGTGTAACAGTTCAAAAATGTTTGTTAATTGCACAAAAGAAAAAAGTGCACCTATTAAGTAAAGACAAAAAAAAAGACTGTTTTTTACTACTGATAAAAAATGTTTGTAACTTTTGAAAATTACTTTGTTTTAAGTGATAAATGTATGATCTGTTTTAATAGGTGCAAAAATAAGATGAAAAGAGATCTTGAATTTCATACTCTCTTAAGCTATTGAACGATAAATTATATGTGGTCAATTACAATGTATTTGAACAAAATAATAAAAGCTGTAATCAGCAACTTCTCGTAAATATAATTTTTTCACATTTTTTTAATAAATAATGCTCAAAAAAATGTAATATAAGTAAAAATTTTTTAAAACAGCATAACTGTTACTGTTAAGTAACTTTTTTTTTCTATTCTCTTCTGCTGGTTTAACATTTTGCAGCCTATCCTTAGTGTATTAAATAAGCAAAAAAAAAAAAAAAGAGAGAAGAACAACTTTTAGCTCATACAGTTTTACTGTATTTTTAGCAACAAATTCTACTACTAAAAATTGAAATATTTAGCCTCTGTAAAAGTTTAATCATTTATACACTCACCAAATATCAACTTTTTTCTTTTTGCTCAACAGTTTAGCAGTATCTTTTAGCAATATAGTGGAATAGAAAAAAAAAAAAAAACTTTTATATATAAACAATGCAATTTTTGATTTACAGTAATTAATAGTTAACTTAATAAGTGGTTTTGTTGCTACTTTTTTTTTCAGTTTTTTCTTTCTCCTCCCTTCTCTGCCTGCCCCGAAAAAAGAAAAGGAAAACTAATCGCCATATATTATATGATTTTCAGTTCCTTAGTAATGCTATAAAAAGAAAAAAAAAATTCAAAAAATTTATAACTAACATAGAGAAGTAATAATGAGAAAAATTTTACTAGTTAAATTAATGTATAGAAAAACTTTTGTTGGTTATATAATGAGCATCAACAGAAACACCATTGATGTATTGTATTTTTTTTCGACTATTCAATATAAGCAAAACAAATTTATCGCTCGTTGACTGACTGTGACTGCGCTTAGTTTACGGAGGGGGAGACATTGCTAAACTTGTTGCATTTATCGTTTCTGTTTTCTTTATGAATTTATTGCTGCTAAAAATGCAATTTACAGCAATTCAACTAACAGTTATACTTAACGCATTGAACAATATTTAAACAGTTGAATACAACACCAAAATCATCAGAGTTTCTTATTTTGGTCAACATAAATAGCTGCTTTGTTATTTCGAAAAAAAAAAAAACACATTTTTTTTCTCATTTTTCCTATTTTTAATTAAAGTTTTTTCTTTTTGTTTTCTTTTTTTGCTTAACAGTATTTCAAAAATTACTAGTGGTGTTTTTTTTAACTCATATAAAAATTTTTAATTATTATTTCAATCAAACTTTCTCTTACGATGGAAAAACCTCAATTATTGTTCAAAAATTGCTAATTAATAATATACCTTCACTTTTATGAGACAGTTTAGTTGTCTTGTTTAATACTGTTATTACTAAAATTCGTCTAACATTTCTATATGTCCTTCTGAAGAAGAAATTTTTTTTCTGATTAACTAATGTATTCATATTTTTAGATGGAGGATAAGGTGGCTCTCCAACAACGACAGCATGAAGCTGACAGTTTGAAAACATTTGCTTTTATTGGTGTTGCACTTGCAACTGTTGCAACATTGATATGTGTCATCTCTGTACCAATGTTGTACAGCTATTTGCAACATGTTCAGTCGGTTATGCAAAATGAGGTCGACTTCTGTAAATCACGCTCGGGTAATATCTGGAGAGAAGTTACCAGAACACAAGTGAGCATTCTCATGCGAACATAAAATTATTAGATCTTTTAATTATTACATTGTTCAGCTACTTTTCAAAGGCATGAACTTTTATACATAAAATAATAATATTTTTGAGACATAATAAACACTGTTGAAAAGAAGTATTTTTAAGGTCCTAGCTAAACTGCCTGGTGCTGGAAGAGATAAGCGATCAAGACATTCAGCAGGTCCCAACTACCACTTCCGAGAGGGACGTCAAATTGGTGCATGCTGTGGTTGTGGAGTTTCAGGTCCCGGTGTACAAGGACCACCTGGACCAGATGGAGACCCTGGTCAGGACGGTGCTCCAGGACCACAAGGTCAAAATGGCCCTGATGGAGCTCCAGCACCGGCGCGTAGCGCGCCATTTGTAAGTTTACTAAATATTTGTCAACATTTTGCAAAAAGCTGCACTACTCATTTTTGTAATTCATGCATTGAATTAATATTTGTTTAGGAGTGGTGCTTTGACTGTCCACCTGGACCAGCAGGACCTCCAGGCCCTCCAGGACCTGCAGGACCAAAAGGTCTTAGCGGCATTAATGGTGATGTTGGACAAGCAGGAGTTCCTGGACTACCAGGACCGCTGGGACCACCAGGAGCACTAGGTCTCAATGGCGAACCAGGACC